ATTCAGTTTGTTTAATGTGTCATACGTAAACTGTTTTCAGATGAAATATATAAAATATATATTCACGTTTCATAGAAATATTCCAAGTGTATTTATTCAGTATTTCTTAGTTGCAAAATCATTCTTCTGTGTTGTGTATACTCTGTCGTCAATATGTGTATTACATTGTAGTAGCACACATAGGAAAGTTTTCACAGAGAGGTTTATTTTAGAATCGATATGGGAAAGGATTCCCCGGGCTTTAGTTTAGTGATATATTGTTTAACGTCCCATTAACTGATAAGGTCATGCCTCCATGTGTATGCGTGTACGTGTGTACGCCGGAGGCGGTAACTTGTCATGCTTTTGGAAAGAGTAGATCTGATGACGACGTAAGAGTGCTATCTAGTTGAAATACCACACCGAAGGCACCAAAGATTCCCGGACTTTCCTTGTAGCGTCTGTGCCCAGGAACGAAAACATTATCTAATTATTTTTTGCTTACTTTTAAAGATTTATTTTCATGTGTGTCTCCGAAACATCGGCAGGTTAATGTTGCATAATCACAACTATTCCTGCTGAAACTAAGCGTTGAGCTGCATCATTGTTAAGTTGTATTGTCATTTGGCCAGTATGATAAAACTTATGAGTCTGATCATTAAGATAAAACTCATCTGGCTGGTCATGCAGATAAAAGTTATTTGACTGGTCATGAAGATAAAACTCATTTGAATAGTGAATAAGATATAGAACGCAGGTGTTTGAGCCAGATAAAACTCATGTGTCTGGCCATTAAGAAAAAACTGATGTGTCTGGCCATTAAGATAAAACTAATGTGACTGGTCAGTAGGAAACTTCTTAGAAAGATAACACTGATGTGTCTGGTCAGTAAGAAACTCATGTGTCTGGTCATTAAAATACACCTCATGTGACTGGTCATTAAGATAAAAGTTATGTGACTGGTCTTTAAGATAAAACTCATGTGACTGGTCATTAAGATCAAACTAATGTGATTTGTCAGTAGGAAAAAACTCATGTTTTCTTCTTACTAGGATAACACTGATGTGTCTGGTCGGTAATAAATGCATGTGACTGGTCAGTAAGATAAAACTCACGTATCTAGTCATTAAGATAAAAGTCATGCTTCTGGTCATTAAGATCAAAATTCATGTTTCTGGTCATTAAGCTGTTGAGTATGATATCACTCATGTTTCTTGTCATTAAGATTAAACTTATGTTTCTGGTCATTAAGATTAAACTCATGTTTCTGGTAATTAAGCTGTTGAGTATGATATCACTCATGTTTCTGGTCATTAAGATTAAACTCATGTTTCTGGTCATTAAGATTAAACTCATGTTTCTGGTTATTAAGATTAAACTCATGTTTCTGGTAATTAAGATAAAATGCACGGGTCTAATTAGTGAAATAGAAAACATGCATCTGGTGAGTAAGGAAAAACTTATGTCTGATCATTAAATTAAAATTCATGTATCTAGTAATTAAGATAAAATCCATGTTTCTTGTCATCGAGATCAAAATCATGTGTCTAGTCAGTAATATAAACTCATATGTCTGTTGAGTATGATGAAACTCATGTTTCGGGTCATTAAGATAAAATGCATGGGTCTTATGAGACAAATAGAAAACAAACATCTGGAGAGTATGATAAAACTTATGTGACTGGTCATTAAGATAAAACTCATGTGACTGGTCATTAAGTTAAAACTTATGTGACTGGTCATTAAGATCAATATTCATGTTTCTAGTCATTAAGATCAAAATCATGTGTCTAGTTAATAAGATTTTATTCCTGTGTCTGGTCAATAAGATGGGTTAATGTATGTGTTGTCATTAATACCAAACTACAGTTATCTTGTGATTATAATGAGCACTCATATGTCTCATCAGTAAGATGCATTCTCACACATCTAGTTATTGAGAAAAGACATCTCATATATGTATTCAGTGAGATGAAACCTCATGTTTCATCAATAAGATATAATATAATGTGTCTTGTCAGTGAGATAAAACCGAGTTGTCTTGTCAGTAAGACAAAATATCTACTGTCTTGTGAATAAGATAAAATATTGATCATATGTTTCATCAGTAAGATAAAATCTTTTGTGTTTTGTAAGATAAAACTTGTGTGCCTTGTCGACAGGAATCTGTGAAATGTGTCATCTTGTATCCCATCAAACAACACCTCACTACTGTAATCAAGACAAACAAATTTGTGGAATTTATATCCCTTGCTTGCAGATCATGTTTAATGTTTAAGATGTAGTCAATTATTGACCCACTAGAATTTTCGAATTACACCAATACGCATGATTAGTTCAAGCCCAGATGTACTTCCTAGTCTTATAGCCATTATTGTCTAACGTGAGCAAGACATAGGTGATCAAACTCAGCTTTAGACTTGTCAAGATGAATGTCCTAATCCATTATGTGTGTGCATACCAAATTTTGTTAAAATTGAAACAGTATTAGACAGTTATTGCACAGAAACCAATTAGCCAATTTTAAGCCCTATTAATTGTGCATGAACATTCACCGATCATATTCATGATCTAACTTAGTGTGAGACATGTCAACTGGTACAAAACAAATTTCATTGAAACTGATCCATTAGTTGGTCAGTTATTGCACAGAAATCAATTAGCCAATCAGAATGTATTAGCCTCAATAATTGTGCTTAAATATGCAAGCATCACACTGATGATCATACCAATTTCACTGTAATTGTACCATCTTTAGGGCATTTATTGCTCGGAAATTTAAATCAGACAGACAGACAGACAGAAATTCATATCATCCATGTTCTTCTATAGGGTGGTGGGGGTGGGGATGGGGTAAAATATAAATGTAAACTAGAATTTTGTTTTTGTGAACAAAAACATGTGTCTCCCCTTATTAGCCAATAGAGAAACTCCGGTATAAAATATCGCTTTATATATTGGGGCTCCGAGACCGGAATTTAGAATTTGACACTCCTACTTACTAAGATACATGAAAACTTTAGCAAGTTTGGTCAACGTAGGTGAAACTAGAACACTGACAGGTCAGTCTTGTGGCAATATATCCCCCATAATCTTCAAGAAGCAATCTGACCATATAGCCGAGCTTGACTTTTGACATTAAAAAAAATTGCAAGGAAGCAAAAGATACATTTTACATGTACAATGATGTGAGTCATGTTTCTTTCCACTTCCATATTTGCAGGGCTAACAGAAATGTAAAATACCAGTGCAATACTCATTTGTTAGCTTTGATTTGTTTTATTTCACCTTAAATACCTCCCCCATCAAGAGCCAGGGTCAAAGAAAGAGATCCACTTTGTCTTTGACCTTTGGACCCAAATGACCTTGACCTTTAACCCAGTGACCCTGATCTTTGGTCAGTTGACTCATTTTTCAATTCCGACCAACTTTGCTTCATAATATCATAACAAAATGTTCATCAGTGAAAAAATACAAAACTTGACCTTGACCTTGAACTTTGGAACCCGTAACCTTGACCTTTGGTCATTTTACTCCATGTTAAGTTCTGAACAACTTTGCTTCATAATAACATACAAAAAATGATACAGTAAAAAGATACAATATCTGACCTTGAAATTGACCTTAAGTCAGTTGACTCCTTGTTAAATTCCAAGCAACTTTGCTTCATAATGTCATAACAAAATGTTCATCAGGGAAAAGATACAAAAATTGACCTTGACCTTTGACCTTTGGTCAATTGACTCCTTGTTTATTTCTGACCAACATTGCTTCAGTGTCAAAACGAAATGTTCACCAGTGAAAAGATACAAAATGTGACCTTCACCTTTGACCCAGTGCCCTTGACCTTTTGTTAACTAAATCCTTGTTTAGTTCCGACCAACTTTGCTTCAAAGTGTCATAACAAATTGTTCTCCAGTGAAAATATACTAAATTTGACCTTAACCTTTGACCCAGTGACCTTGACCTTAAGTCTTTTGACTTCTTGTTAAATTCCAACCAGCTTTCTTCATAATGTCATAACAAAATGTTCATCAGTGAAATGATACAAAATTTGACCTCGAGCTTTGACCAAGTGACCTTAACCTTTGGTCAAATGACTTCTTGTTTATTTCTGACCAATATTGCTGCAAAGTGTCAAAGCAAAATGTTCACCAGTGAAATGATACAAAATGTAACCTTGACCTTTAACCCAGTGACCTTGACCTTTGGTCAACTGACTCCTTGTTTAATTCCGACCAACTTTGTTTCAAAGGGTCATAACAAAATGTTCCCCAGTGAAAAGAAACTGAATTTGACCTTAACCTTTGACCCAGTTACCTTGACCTTAGGTCAGTTGACTCTTTGTTTAATTCCAACCATCTTTGCTTTATAATGTCATTAACAAAATGTTCATCAGGGAAAAGATACAAAATTTGACCTTGACCTTTTACCCAGTAACCTTGACCTTTGGTCAGTTGATACCTTGTTTGTTCTTTGATTCAGGGCCCTAATAACATGGCAGTTATGCTGTGGACCAACTTCGGTCGTAAATTTAAACAAAGGGCCATAACTCTGTATATAGTGACGCACAAGACCTAATTCCAGTGCACTGCACACCTTCTGTGAGTGATCCAGGTATACTTCAAGTTTAATTAAGATAGCTTTAATGGTTTAGAAGTTATGACGTGGACAAACTTCAGAATTAAAATGTGCACTGCACACCTTCTGTGGGTGATGCAGGTATGCTTCAAGTTTGATTGAGATATCTTTAATGGTTTGAAATTTACGGGCAGGACAAGAATTTACTGAAAATGTGCACTTATTTGATCTTTGACCTTGAGGTGAAGGTCACAATGGCCCGGACAAGTCAAATAAGAAGAACCAAAAGAAGAAGAAGAAGAAGAACCAGTACTAATACAATATGTCTCCCTTCATTCGAAGAGGAGACATAATTAAAAGAAGAATTATATTGTTTCTAATCAAATAATTAAGAATCACTTAATATTTTTGTAAGAGATAAGAATTTAAAGCAATTCAAAATACCATATTTTATTATATTGAACAAATTAACATACAGATCAAAATATCACAGTGACATATTCCATAATGAGTCGCACTGAGCTCAAGGCACTTTGTTTGGGATATCTTGATTCCATGCAAAGTTTCTTTGTAGTTTTTTGGTGTCAGCAGTGTAGATGTGGCTTGCTCACTTCTGAAATGACAATGGGAAAAAGTATTACTCATGGTGTAATCAATCAAATATGTCCATTAGATTTTCTTACATATTAGTCATGTTGGAAGTAAAGTCATGGTGTGAACATCACCTACAATATATTTCTAAACACCCCAGCTTTGATGTGTCACTGTGTATATATCACCCATAGTAAACACCACAGTTATGCTATATCATGGTGAACAGATCACCCATAGTAAACACCACATCTATGATATATCATGGTGTACTGATCACCCATAGTAAACACCACAGTTATGATATATCATGGTGAACAGATCCCCCATAGTAAACACCACATCTATGATATATCATGGTTTACTGACCACCCAATGTAAACACCACATCTATGAGGGGTCACTGTGTATATATCACCCATCGTAAACACCACAGCTATGATGTGTCCCTGTGTATATATCACCCATCGTAAACACCACAGTTATGCTATATCATGGTGAACAGATCACCCATAGTAAACACCACAGTTATGATATATCATGGTGAACAGAGTACCCATCGTAAACACCACAGTTATGATATATCATGGAGAACAGATCACCCATAGTAAACACCACAGTGATGGTAAATCATGGTGAACAGATCACCCATAGTAAACACCACATCTATGATATATCATGGTGTACTGACCACCCAATGTAAACACCACATCTATGATGTGTCACTGTGTATATATCACCCATCGTAAACACCACAGCTATGATGTGTCACTGTGTATATATCACCCATCGTAAACACCACAGTTATGATATATCATGGTGAACAGATTACCCATCGTAAACACCACAGTTATGATATATCATGGTGAACAGATCACCCATAGTAAACACCACAGCGATGATATATCATGGTGAACAGATCACCCATAGTAAACACCACAGTTATGATATATCATGGTGAACAGATCACCCATAGTAAACACCACAGTGATGATATATCATGGTGAACAGATCACCCATAGTAAACACCACAGCTATGCTATTTCATGGTGTACTGATCACCCATAGTAAACACCACAGCTATGATATATCATGGTGTACAGAACACCCATAGAAAACACCACAGCTATGATATATCATGGTGTACAGATCACACATAGTAAACACCACAGCTATGATATGTCATGGTGTACAGATCACACATAGTAAACACCACAGCTATGATATATCATGGTGAACAGATCACCCATAGTAAACACCACAGCTATGATATATCATGGTGTACAGATCACACATGAAAAACACCAGGGCTATGATATGATATGGTGAACAGATCACCTTTAAAAAACACCACAGCAATGATATGTCATGGTGTACAGATCGCCCATAGTAAACACCACAGCTATGATATGACATGGTGAACAGATCACCTATACAAAACACCACAGCTATGACATGTCATGGTGTAAAGATCACCCATAGTAAACACCACACCTATGATATGTCATGGTGTACAGAACACCCATAGTAAACACCACAGCTATGACATATCATGGTGTACAGATCACCCATAGTAAACACCACAGCTATGATATATAATGGTGTGCAGATCACCCATAGTAAACACCACAGCTATGATATGATATGGTGAACAGATCACCCATAGTAAACACCACAGCTATGACATGTCGTGGTGTACAGTTCACCCATAAACACCACAGCTATGACATATATGATATATCATGGTGTACAGATCACACATGAAAAACACCAGGGCTATGATATGATATGGTGAACAGATCACCTTTAAAAAACACCACAGCTATGATATAGCATGGTGTACAGATCACCCATAGTAAACACCACAGCTATGATATATAATGGTGTGCAGATCACCCATAGTAAACACCACAGCTATGATATATAATGGTGTGCAGATCACCCATAGTAAACACCACAGCTATGATATATAATGGTGTGCAGATCACCCATAGTAAACACCACAGCTATGATATGATATGGTGAACAGATCACCCATAGTAAACACCACAGCTATGATATATAATGGTGTGCAGATCACCCATAGTAAACACCACAGCTATGGCATGCCATAGTTTCCAGATCACCCATAGCTTACATCACAGCTATGACATGTCATGGTGTACAGAACACCCATAGTAAACACCACAGCTATGGCATGTCATGGTTTACACATCACCCATAGTTTACATCACAGCTATGACATGTCATGGCGTACAGATCACCCATAGTAAACACCACAGCTATGATATGATATGGTAAACACCACAGCTATGACATGTCATGGTGAAAAGATCACACGTAGTTAACACCACAGCTATGATATATCATGGTATAGTAAACACCACACCTATGATATGTCATGGAGTACAGAACACCCATAGTAAACACCACAGCTACGACATGTCATGGTGAAAAGATCACCCGAAGTTAACACCACAGCTATGATATATCATGGTATAGTAAACACCACACCTATGATATGTCATGGAGTACAGAACACCCATAGTAAACACCACAGCTACCACAGCTATGACATATCATGGTGTACAGATCAGCCATAGTAAACACCACAGCTATGAAATATCATGGTGTACAGTTCAGCCATAGTAAACACTACAGGTATAATATATCATGGTGTACAGATCACACAAAGTAAACACCACAGGTATAATATATCATGGTGTACAGATCAGCCATAGTAAACACCACAGCTATGAAATATCATGGTGTACAGTTCAGCCATAGTAAACACTACAGGTATAATATATCATGGTGTACAGATCATACATAGTAAACACCACAGCTATGACATGTCATGGCGTACAGATCACCCATAGTAAACACCACAGCTATGATATATAATGGTGTGCAGATCACCCATAGTAAACACCACAGCTATGACATGTCGTGGTGTACAGTTCACCCATAAACACCACAGCTATGACATATCATGGTGTACCATAGTAAACACCACACCTATGATATGTCATGGAGTACAGAACACCCATAGTAAACACCACAGCTATGACATGTCGTGGTGTACAGTTCACCCATAAACACCACAGCTATGACATATCATGGTGTACAGTTCAGCCATAGTAAACACTACAGGTATAATATATCATGGTGTACAGATCATACATAGTAAACACCACAGCTATGACATGTCATGGCGTACAGTTCACCCATAAACACCACAGCTATGACATATCATGGTGTACAGTTCAGCCATAGTAAACACTACAGGTATAATATATCATGGTGTACAGATCACACAAAGTAAACACCACAGCTATGACATGTCATGGCGTACAGTTCACCCATAAACACCACAGCTATGACATATCATGGTGTACAGTTAAGCCATAGTAAACACCACAGCTATGACATATCATGGTGTACAGTTCAGCCATAGTAAACACTACAGGTATAATATATCATGGTGTACAGATCAGCCATAGTAAACACCACAGCTATGACATGTCATGGCGTACAGATCACCCATAGTAAACACCACAGCTATGATATATCATGACATGGTGAACAGATCACCTATACAAAACAATATCATGGTGAACAGATCACCCATAGTAAACACAACAGCTATGATATATAATGGTGTACAGATCACCCATAGTAAACACCACAGGTATGGTACAGATCACACATAGTAAACACCACAGCTATGATATATCATGACATGGTGAACAGATCACCTATACAAAACACCACAGCTATGACATGTCATGGTGGTGTACAGATCACACATAGTAAACACCACAGCTATGACATATCATGGTGTACAGATCACTATAGTAAACACCACAGGTATAATATATCATGGTGTACAGATCAGCCATAGTAAACACCACAGCTATGACATGTCATGGTGAAAAGATCACCCGTAGTTAACACCACAGCTATGACATGTCATGGTGTACAGATCACACATAGTAAACACCACAGGTATGATATATCATGGTGTACAGAACACCCATAGTAAACACCACAGCTATGACATGTCATGGTGAAAAGATCACCCGAAGTTAACACCACAGCTATGATATATCATGGTGAACAGATCACCCATAGTAAACACAACAGCTATGATATATAATGGTGTACAGATCACAGCTATGATATATAATGGTGTACAGATCACCCATAGTAAACACCACAGCTATGACATGTCATGGTGTACAGATAACACATAGTAAACACCACAGCTATGATATGTCATGGGGTACAGATCACACATAGTAAACACCACAGCTATGATATGTCATGGTGAAAAGATCACCCGTAGTTAACACCACAGCTATGACATGTCATGGTGTACAGATCACACATAGTAAACACCACAGCTATGATATATCATGGTGTACAGATCACACATAGTAAACACCACAGCTATGATATGATATGGTGAACAGATCACCCAACACCACAGCTATGATATATAATGGTGTACAGATCACACATAGTAAACACCACAGCTATGATATGTCATGGGGTACAGATCACACATAGTAAACACCACAGCTATGATATGATATGGTGAACAGATCACCCAACACCACAGCTATGATATATAATGGTGTACAGATCACAGCTATGATATATAATGGTGTACAGATCACACATAGTAAACACCACAGCTATGATATGATATGGTGAACCGATCACCCATAGTAAACACCACAGCTATGATATGATATGGTGAACCGATCACCCATAGTAAACACCACAGCTATGATATGATATGGTGAACAGATCACCACATAGTAAACACCACAGCTATGATATGTCATGGGGTACAGATCACACATAGTAAACACCACAGCTATGATATGATATGGTGAACCGATCACCTTTAAAAAACACCACAGCAATGATATGTCATGGTGTACAGATCGCCCATAGTAAACACCACAGCTATGATATGACATGGTGAACAGATCACCTATACAAAACACCACA